AGATACCACCCATTATCTGCTACATCTCAATGCTGCATGAAATTTTAAAGGAAAAACAATGGTCAGTTAAATTTTAAATTCATCCAGGCAGCCATCCAATCTATAATTTCTCTCAGTATTTGATGAGTTTCCGGGTGATCATTTTCGAAAGCCCCCCTTCTAATGAATTGCCAAAGCTAGCCACAAATGCCCTAATCCCAAGTAAGCTTTTACAAATTTAACTTTCCTCTGCATCCCGAAAATAAACTTGGGGTGTTTCTATGGGGTAAAGAACCCGACATTAGAGGCATCTGTCTAGGACAGAAAAATCTCCCGAGATATCTTTCGCATCTGTCCTAGAGAAGCTGCCCCTATTTAGGATCTAGGGGTGTTTTCGCAATACCCGCTAAATTTGGTTTTGTAGAGTCTACATTTGATATTCTATTGTGCATCAACAATAACATTTTGCGAAAACGTGCAAAAAAGTGCAAAAGATAATATTTTCTTTAAATAATCCACTGATGCGATTCTGGTGGCAAATAAGCCAAAAAAATATTTCAAACTAATTGCTTGTGTGGTTAATAGTTGATGAAATTCCAAAGCCATTATAAATTGATAATTGAATAATCACAATAAAATTATTTTAAGAAAATGAACTTTAAGCCTAAAGCCTAACTAATTTTAAAAGCCATAAAATTTTATCAATACTAGGATTTGAGTTAGAATCAATTAGAAAAATTCGTTTCGCTACTAATGTCAATTGAAGTCAATACCCAATACAGAAAAGGAAATTAAAATGGAAAAAGTAGCATTAAAAATTTGCATTATTTTAAACTGTGCATTATTTTAAAGAAATAGTTACAACGCACAGAAAGGACCTTGTTACAACACATCAATAAATTAAGAACGTTTTTTCCACTTATCATAATTAACGAATATATAAAAATGCAAAAAATAAGCACGACCAAGGAAAGAGAGAATATTTAGGCCAGTCAGGGACAACAAGAGGAAATATGTAGAATTTAAAGACATAAACGAATTATTTTCTGCTGCCATAAGACATTAAAACACCATGACGCAATACTAAGGATACAAGTTAGAAACGTTTTAAAAATTTTGTTTGTTATGAATGTGGACACTAAACACAAAAAAATATGAAAGAAATGTCATTAAATAACTTTCAAAGTGTAAAGGATTACGTTGACACTATTTTAGAGAAAGAAATGAATTAACTAATGCCATATAAAAGTAAATATGCTGCCTAAACTGTTAAAAACTGCAAAAACATTACATTACATTATGTTAGAAGCTTAATTAGGCATAATTCTTTATAATAATTCGAAACATTCTAGGTAAATGAATTAATCTTCAATTTTCTCTACTGTGAAGTCGCAGTCGTTCACAAATGTGGCTGCGAAAATTCCCTTTTGTCCGCTCTAGTTTATAGACGTCCTTCATTCGAGTACGCCTAGAAACAGTATTAGAAACCCTATTTTGTTCTTCATATTCCCAAAAGAAAATAACCACTATAACTCATGGAAAGCCAATTTATTTTTATAATAGCTGGTGTTGGAGCCTAGTCGGTCGGGAAAGCCGCCCTCATAGATCATTGGAAAATCGATTATATTTTCCAGTTTATATCGGTGGAGCCACAGAAAGGGTATTGTAGGCCTTGATAGCAACGTAATTTTGAGGATTTTGTTTGCCAAGTAGGATTGTGATCCAAGTTCGCCGTTATTACTTTATAGTTCGTATTTCATAATTTGCTTATGATTATAAAGTTAAAATATATATTAAAGTTATATATTAAAACTATTCTACACCAGGTTAATTTATAATACTTTTTTTTAGATATTGAGTTGCTAACTTTTTCCGGGAAATAATATTGAATTTGCAGTACTTACATAGGCAATACAAGCTATGGTAAAATGCAAAATTTTGGTCTTGGTTACTTTTTTTTATATCAAAATAGCTTACGGACGGACGTTAAAGTAGATCATCAGGTTTTACAACACAGGCAAGTGTACCAAGCGGCTGAAAATTCAGAATCAGTTTTAACCGATTAAATGTTAATTTTGAGACACTAAATTCTTGATCAGACAGATTACACAGTTTTTATCGGCAAATTCAATTAAAAAATCATATTTAATGTTGGATTAGATAATTAAATCAAACACTTTCATGTTGATCGCTCCCATAGTCGGGTTAAAAAGCCATGCAACTTTCTATTGAGCAAATTATAAACTGAGTGAAAATAAACATTGAATCAATATTTAACTAATGATTCGAACACATCAACAATTTATTCGACCGTAATATAGTAGGTCCTTTTGAACTTAGCGATTCCCAAATTCCATACATGTTGGGCACTTAATGCATGTAAGTGTTATCAGGCCATCGAAATGGCTCTAACAACACACGTGTGCCAATGACAACAAATAGGGGGAAAGAAACGCAATTTCCAACAATTAGTAACGGTTTTCAGTTGTTACACATCGTTTCGTTCAATGGACGCTAGGAATGAGACATGCGACTCATGAGAGCCGATGATTTTCGGAACTTACAAAAACAAAAAAAACTGTGGGAAAATGCTTAAAACTATAATAAAAAATGTAAATAAAAATGAAGTTAGTGACCACGGACAATGATTATGTTTACCCAAAAGCTTTATTTGGTATGGTAATTATTTCAGGTATGCACGCATACACTTCTGTAAACATGTGAAGTACCTATGGGAAAACTTTACCATCGGGCTGAATGATAATTCATGAATTGATTTGGCAGGAAAACGAAGAAGTTTTATTCATACAGCCAATAACTCCCCAGTTATTAAAGCAAAGTAATAAAAACACTTTGGAGGCAGCAATGCATGCTTGTGGCCCATAATTGGTTGAAACATTGAGAATGCCATGCCAAAGAAAATCCAACAACGATGTATCGAGTCGTAGGAGAGAGAAGACAAGAGAAAATATGAAGCTCTTCGTGTCCATATTGCGAGATGGTTCTTTGTGTGAAAAAGGAATCTTCTCACGGTCTTTCTTTGCCCCGAGTGGACGATTCATGGACCAATCATTAAGTTTATACATTTATAAGTCAGCCAGTATACATGGTCCTGCCAAAATGTAACAAGCCAAAAAATATATGTTCTACTTCACAAGAAGCACAGCCATGAACTTTTCAACTTGATCATGCAGACCAAAATTGCATGAAAGTTCCTAGTCGGGTATCCATGCAACGAAACTCTTTTAATACAATCGCTGGCATCTCCAAGGATCTATTAAAAGCGCTCTAAAATTACATGGAGATTGGTACTCGACCTAAAAATACGGCCGTAAATCCAATAAAAACTGCTGCTCTACTTGTATGAAAATCAATAGTGTACTTCCTAATAGATATATTTCAGAGGGATGAAGCGAATGTCTTAGAATATAGACGATTTAAGTTTTCTAGACCGAATATTAGCAAATAATTGAAAAGTGGATTTTAGATGTTTTCCTGCCAGGTATTCAAATTAATTTCACTCTAATGATGAATGCAAATAAACATCATTATACAGTAATGGAAAAAATATGTGGGTCAGACTAAACTGTTCTTTCATCAATTTATTCCAATTAACCAATTAAAATTTTACTAAATGCGACAAAATTTCACATTTTTGCCGGAAATGAGGAGCCCGCTAATCAGAACTGTAAATTTCCGGTAGCAAACTAAAAACTCAACAACCAGAATGTTTTGGCATTGAAAATTGATTTTTTTTCGAAATCTGTGAACGGGATAATCAATCTAAAACGAGAATAATTAATTATGACGGTTTAACAATTGCACATTTTAACCCGAGTAAATATTTATTTCAGGTTTGTACGCATGTGTTTCATAAGACGTGGGATCAACTTTTCTCGCTTTGATAATGCATGCAGATATATTGCAAATGATTGCAGCAGTTAATTTGTTCAATGATTTACACGGGAGAAAATTCGACTTGTTTATTATTAACTTGTAAATATTATAATCAAACTAATTTGAAGCTGAGCCAGGAGATAACAAAATCTACACATACATCGCATTATTTCGAATACCTCAGATATAATGCAGTATCTGTCGATGTTTGGAGCACTGTTGTTTTTAATTCAAATTCAAGTATTTATAAATAAGAAACATAATCGTTAATTTTGAATATGGAATCCAAATAATGATTAAAACGTATTTTACGAAACCTGAACAACATTTTCAAATAGGGTCTCTGAATTATTTTTAAAACACTTCTTTGCTTAGTTACTCGTTTGTTCTGAAACAGTGACCAGTACTCTCATTGTCCATTCAAATTATTGATTAGGATCTTCCATTTCAATCTGTTCAATCAAATTAAGCGATTCCTTCTCAAAGGATTCAACAAATGTTGAAGTGCATGATGAACAACTTAGGAAAACATTAGAAGCGCACAATGTGTTAATTAACCTTAATTTAGCATCGCCTTAATATATTTTCTACCTCAAACAAACTAGTTGAAAATCCCAGGGCTGTTTTCTAATGGATTTGCAAAATGGGATGTTTATAAAATGGAAATGTGTCTTCTTAGTGTTTACTTCGCTTCTCAATATTATTAAATTGAAACTTTTATGAAGTTGGACGCCTTTAATTTGAGAATTACATCATTGCAAGAGTAAGAATTGGAAATAATTTTGTGTTCGATGTTATGTTGAGATATTCAAACTGACTTATTGATGATTAAAGCGCCTTTATAGTTCTACTATTTGCACATTTTGAAGAATTGCAAAATTTGCTTACTAGTATTTATATGCATGTTTTTCATGTAGATTCTATTAAAAAGTAATACACAAATTGACATTTTTGCAATTCTTCAAATAGTGCCATGCCTAGTAAACATCTACCGATCCGAATACCGAATATCTAAAAGTTAGTGGAAACGTTTTATGATAAATACTCGTATCTGAAGGGCAGTTTAAAGGCACCCTTCTTCACCGAAATTATCATTTGCAAATTGTCGTTGAAAATGTACGCACCTATTCCCATCTTCTTCTTAATCTTCTTGAGGACCTTCATCTTCTTCAAGGGTGAAAATCCACTGCTTTTCGACTCCTTGCAATTATTGTTCTCTTCTGCTTGGCACTGCTGACAAGCCTGTGCTCCTATCACACCCATAAATATGTTTCAGTTGCTTGATACCGCGAAAACAATCAGCTGACACATCCGAAATAGACTCAAAATGAAAAAGCGTTTAACAATAAGAAGCTTTTGACAAATCACTGAATACACTTAGGCGCGCTTGAACGACTGCACCGCGGAGTTTGAATTTAAAGCGATTTTATATACGAAATGTCAATGTTGAGTGTGAAAAACTTATACAAAGTCACTTTCACGTACTTCGCGAACCCTAAGCGGAAAGTCTACGAGATCGACTCTACCGCAGTGTGCTTCGAACTGATGAGGAATTGTGACGCATTCTCCAGCAAAAGAGCACTGTTCGATAAGAGTGGAGAGGAGGACAGATGTCGGCACGCGCCCTCAACCAATGGGAGGCGAGACACACGCCAACTGTGATCACACCGGCAGAAGGTTGTAAAAAAAGCAGATGTGATATAGACCGATAGGTTTCTCAAAAGTTACTTTTTGGTTATTTTCTATATCTTAAACAATTTTTTCTCGATCGCTCCAATATGTTCCTTGAACAGTCAGTCAGTCGTCATCACCTACTATTTTGAAAATCAATCAAAGAATCGATCAAGTAATGAACACCAATTAAATTTTTTCGATAAACATATGTTCACATTTTAGTGAAAAATTTATTCTGTTCTGTCCTGACATTAATTTTGCTCTTGGCTGCCTCCAATAAAATCAAAATAACAAATGACAAGATGTTGCATTTTACAACCAACTGAAAGGATGGCGCTTATACAAAACATTATTGCAGGGAAGGTCACTGAATTGGATTGAATATGATGTGTTATAAATATTCTCCTTACTGCTCTGCTCTTTATATCATTCTTGGTAATCAATTCCATTCATTCAATAAATTATTAATGCTGTTCTTAATTATATATAGTTATTATTAATATGCGCATTTTTTTACAAGTTTTCTAGCTATTGGAGCAACAAACTTTCAAAGCCAACAAACACATAATAAAGTGCGGTCTTCACATTTGTCTTGTGTGCTGCTGTTGCTCAATAGGCGTTGTAACTTTTATCCAGTGATCGTAAAACTGATAATCAATTAACATTTTTTCTTTCCATTTCCATCTTGATGCTTTTCTACAACTCTGTTGCGCCAATAAATTGCTACTGCGATTTACATGCCGAATAACTTATTTAAAACTGTTAAATGTTTACTACATTTATTAAGTAATATAAAGTCGAAGAAACAGAACTGGTACTACTGGTTTACAAATTTCAACATACCTAAAACCCATCCATTTTATTGCTGTATTTTGTGTGTATCCGCCTATCAATCGATATACATATCTTCAATGGAAGCACTTAATAATGCAACATTTTATGAATATATTAGTATGAGCTGTTACTTGATAAAATTATTGACTTTTGCTTTCATTAGTATTTAGATTTTACGTAATATCTAATTCGTAATTAACTTGAACATAAAAGGTTGGTTTCATATTGATTCTCGTCATATATATATACACCGCTGTGAAGCGCAGCGCAATGTAGAAAATTGGATCTCAGTTCTTTGTTTTTACATTTGCAAAAGATTTTGAAACTGGTAAGAAATCTTAAAGATATGGTAATTTCAGTGCCTTGTTATTCAGATCACTCCGAGGTTTTCCGTCAACTACATGAAAAAAGACGCATACGAATTTTTAATATCTTTCAGGTCACGAACAGGGGCAAAGTTGAAACACGGTGCAAACCTCGCTTTAAAACTTCAAAAAATCGTCGACATGATGAGAATGACAATAGTAAGGTTGAACAATCGATTTCAATCTAAAGAAGTAAACTTAGGCAACAAGCAAACCGAAATAAAGTCCATATTTCATATCTGAATCATGTACCTTTCAATCATTGCAGTTGCAATATACATAGATAGTTATCTATGTTTTTTATTCCTAATTTCTTCTGAATATTTTAATTTTCATTTATTTCTTCCTGGATAAATTTTTCTTTTACAGCCGTATGAAATGTCGATTCTGATGCTTGAAAACCATTATGGTTAATTTACGCTGGTTTATACTGCGCCACAATAAAAAATCAAAACAGGATTATTAATAATTTTACTTGCCTTATACAGTACGTTTTATAATATGCGCTTCTTACGCAAGTAAGGACTAATTTTTTTGGTTTTATTTTACTGCAGCGTGAAAACCTCTTAAATTTTTGCCTTAAAAATGTGCTTAAAGAAGTAATGGAAAGTTTTGTGGCAGTAGAAAAACTCATTCATTTTTTAAAAACTGAAACATATTCTGTTGTGACAATCACGATTTATTGGCAAACTGTTCCGAATACTCTCCGATTTATAAATTGCTAATAACTGCGGTATACATTGAGAAAAACTCAGTAGGAATGTGAAAGAAATTGAAGGTAAACATAATGACATCATAACACAACCAATAGCAATAAATGCAATAAAACAGGATATAAAGAGCGAAGGGAGAAACAGGATCAATATTTCGTCTCTGCTGACGAAAATAAAGATTAGAAGCACTCGGCTTTGGTATGAATTAACAATATATTCTCTATTAGAAGAATCAGATCAAAAAGCAAGATCTTTTTAAAAAATTTAAAAACGCGTTTTGTAAAAAACCAATTAGCATAGAAAGTAATAAATATAAGTAACAGATACATTAGAAGACACGAAAAACAAACACAATTTAAACTTTTATAGACAAAACAGCTACAAAAATAACTTGAAAATAAACAAAGAAGCAACAGTGTGAATGCAACAATTTCAACCCCATAACTAACACAACTTTTAGTAACAAATTTTTGACAACGTGGCATTAAATAGCTCTAACTATGAAATTTTGAACACAGTTAACGAAATGGAAATTGAAAAAGAATGATGGTATTGATTAATCTAAAATTAGCAGTCAAACAGATTCTTACTTTGTAAAATAGTATTTCAAACTAAAACCTACTAGTTTTCAAGTTCAAATTTCCTTAACATTTGCACCATTAATTGCTTAAACTAACACTGAAAAGTTCAAAGCGCATTCATTCCAAACATGGTTTCGAATGTTTCGATCAAGGGTTAATATTGGAGAATTAAGATGTTTTTGGCTGTTAACAGACGACAGATAAATTTGAAATTTATTTAAAGAAATGTTTCTCTATTCCATCAATTGATTGATCGTCCTGCCTGGAAGACAGAGTTATTTTCCGAATGTTCGCGTAATTCTGACATTCTGACCCATCGAAACCCGCCCTGAGATGTTCCCAGATCCCAGTTCAACACAACAATCATGTGATGCACGTGTGCCTTCTTAAAGAAATAGCTTTCGGACGTAGCGGATTTTCCACCAACCATTAGTTAGGCACAATAGATCTGTTTTCTGAAAGAAGTCACCTGATAACAAGGTGCACATATGGGATCTTTAAAGTCTTTAAAGGGACTTGTTGGTTTTTTTATTTTTAAAGATCTTCTGGTTGCCAGGTACGACGCGGGGGTGCACCAACAGGCATTTCGTCTATGGATAACAATGGGCAAGATGTTGGCTTTATGTGAGATTTCACAAGGTTTTATGCAAGGTTTCTTAGAACGGGACTGGCGGGAATCGCGATGACGACAATTTGCAGAAAATGCAATATGCATGTGAGACGGGAATTATATCGTTGAATAAGCCCAGATAGAGTTAGCCAACATCCCTTTCCTTCACCTGTTCGATCTGAATTTTTCTATAGAACCGCGTAAGATGACCAATGGGAAAGAAACCAACCACTAAAGATTAAAACAGGTGAACGTCGCGAAGAAATAAACCAGGCAAGGTGTGCTAATCAGCTGCCCGTTTCTCTCAAAACGTCTTAAGATGAAGTAGCCCACATATTGGCAGATGCCCGGTATTTTTTATTATTATAGTAACATGCTAGTGTTACTTTTATTTAAATAAACTGTTGCGCGTGAATCATGAAACACGGGGCAAACATGTATTGATGATGTTATTTTTTCACATTTGCAAATGCTTACAGGACCCACACTGCCCACATACGTTGGATAGTGCACTTAATTAGTGGAAGCAGATTTAATAAAGATATACATTTTGTTGATAAACAGCTTCATAGAAAGTCCAAACAGAACACACAAGTACACTCAATAAACAAGCAAATATAACGAATATATAAATCTAAATGCAGATCACAGGCTATCGCACCTTGGCTTACATGCTAATCTAAACACATAAAACTTAGAAGCGAACTGCAAAAATAAACCGGTCAGTATTCGATTTCAAAATTTATATCGCTTTTATATTGTTTTAATTGTTAGTTTACGATTGGAACTAATAAACAATCACGTACTAAATCTTTGTTCCGGGATTTCATAAGAGATTCCTAAATAAAAATAAGTCAGTGAGTCAACGGACCTGGATTCAAATATGTTCCACTTCTTAACATTCCGGGAATTTGCTATAAATATACAATGTGAAGATAATGTGTGCCGCTCGTGAGGAATGTTCAACATTTGCCATTTTTAACTTTTAAGAGCACACTGATTTTTTGGCCCTATTTGATTTTTTGTGAGATTTGCACAATCTTGGAATTGACTGGAAAATCTTCAGTCAGAATAAAGGAATATATAATTATATATAAAACTCGGTTCCGATAACAAAAGAACTTCAGGAACTTTATATAGAATATATTTGAATCTGACCCGGTGAACCAGCTATCGACAAACACAAACTCTGTACAATAGTGAGAGTAAAATACATGGGCTGCATAGCCGTACAGGAAGGAAAAATGGAGATTGAGAGCTCACAAGAGTCCGAATGAGATCGAGCCTCTCAGGAGGGATTTTTATAAAACCAAAATAAAAAAGGGGCCGAAATCCAACCAATTCAGCCCTTACATCTCCAATGCAAGAAGCAAAAAAAAAGCGTTGGACACACCATTAACATCATTGCAGAAATACACACAAATCACAACAAAAACCATAAAAATGGCAACAACAACAATTTTACCAACAAGAAGACCTTTACAACCGCGCTTCCCCACATATCAACACGCATTCTTAGTGCATTACGGTTTAAACAAGCGCAAAACAATAAGGTTGTCCAAATTGTGATAATGATCTGGTGCAATGTAGAAAATTCGATTTTCTCACGACCCAAAAACCCAGCTGTTTACACCCACATGATCATGACATAAAATCATAACATGAAAACCGTCCTCAGATTTAAATCCCAGTGCATCCAAATCAGCTGACACGAAGGACCAAAACTAAACTGATTTCTGTTGTTACTGAACTTTACTCAAACCGTATTCGGATCTTATGCAAGCTTGCTTTGGCAGAATAGCGTTTGGGCAG